GTCAGACATTCCTCCTAAGTTGCTAGAAAACTTACCTACTAGGAAGGAAGCAGAGGCTACTTTATCCATTACCTGTTGGGTTGTATTAGTGATGGGTGTGTATGCAATAGAAAATCTGGATTCACTGAATGAATCTACCCGTCCCAGGTCCAGGGTAGGCAGCGAAGAAAAATCATGAACATCATGGCCATGAGGATATAGGTACAAAAAGAGTAGTAGGAACAATGAGCTTATCCATTCCTACACAATCGAAGAGAAAGGATAAAGAAAATTATGATTTCAAATTAGTCATCCACGATCATTTTGTCATAGAGTTTGTCTCCTTGTCCACTTTTTCTAATTTCAATATATCCCCTGTTATAAACTGTTTAAAATATGTATGGTACTAATTCAGCAGTTTGGGTAATTTTAATGAGCTATTAATGGGAATTCAAATTTATTGAGCCTCAGTGCCAGTGCTGTAACATGCACTGATTATGAAAAAATATGAAATGCAACAGTAGCAAGCTGTGTTAAATTATTACCATCTGGGATCAACTTGGCATTTCACTCATGCTGTGTTTGATTCTACTGAGAGTCAATGTGTAAGAGACAGTTCTAAGGGATTGCTCACTTAGTAACGATATGTTGGTTATATGCCAGGATTCTGGCATTGGAAACTCAACAGAATGCCGGTGACCTTAGGGACACTGTCTTGGTTAATTATTTATAAATCCTGGTCACATGCAAACTCCCAATAAGAAATCACTTTTTTTCTAAAATGCATGATCTTAGAAAAAAATCTCACAGAGTATATACAGTAGAATTCCAATTTAGTTAAATATGCTACCTAGCTATATCTCTCTGATTTTTAAAAGATATCGAAGTTTAACCAAGACTTTTGTTATGTGGTAAGATTATAAGACCTAATGCCAATTTTCTTCTTGGCACTTAATATATTTTCAACTTTTCTACTATTTTTGAGGAAAATGAATTGTTTTTTAAAAGATAAAAAGATCTCAAAGAGAAAATACCAGTTACCTATTATTGTGGATGGATTTATTTAACATATCTCTTAATACCAGTATCTTAATCTAGGATCTATGAGTGGGAACACTGGTAAAAAGTGTGACCATTGGCTTTTAAAACATTTATTGACTTCTCAAGTGCTGACCAGCTTTAGTGCTTTTGGAAATCAATTTATGAGCCTATGTCAATTAAAATGTCTTCAAACAGATTCATGGTCTGAGGAACAGCTTTTTCTATTGTATAAAGGTGCTTTATTATTTTTTTCTTTTGGTGTCTGTATTGGGGAGCAGCAATAAACAAAGCATAAATACCTCCGAGGTAATACACATTTTCCTATCATAAATATAAAGTGACACAGATATCGAATCATACCATTAAGGGCTCTCTTTTCATTCTCCATTTTTTAAGAAAGTTCTTGCATATTAAGGCCCAAGTTTGTTGACACACACTGATCTCTCTCTTGCTCATTTTGCCCTGTTTAATGAGAAAAAAAGGAAGAACATAAAGTTAATGCAAAGTTCTTAGAAGAAATATCCTGCAAACAACAACAACAAAAAAGAGTAGCCTAGTAACTCCAATGCTCCAAGTGAGTGCTTAGAATCTGAGTGTTCTCAAGTTCACATTTTATTACTCCCTGTTCCCCTTCTTTCCCCACTTGCACTCTTTGTTCCATCATTTATTTGTGATGCACTGTGCCAGTTATCAATTTATTCCCTCTCAGCTCCAAATTCTCACTTCAGAGCCTGCTCTGTGAAAATGGATACGGGCCCTTGAAGTATTTCCCTTTGCCAGCTGGCATGATGTTATACTTCATTGGCAGAGAGGACTGTAGAGACAATGCAGGAAGAAGAGGCTCTCCTTTCTGGTATCAGAGTGTTTCATTTGACAGGTTTCTATAGAATGTATTTTTATTCCACTGCTCAAACTAAATGGTTTTATCCAATGCAAACTACCTGGATGGTGCAGGTTTCACTGTGTATTTTCTCTAGCTCGTGACTTAGGGCACAGTAGTGTATCTGGGAGCCCTAAGCAGCTATAGTCCTTTCCTCAGAGCTTGGTTTCCTTTGGCCCTCCTATTGCAAAGGGGCAATGCAGCCCAGTCCTTGTGCCCACAGCTTGCCATTCCAGCTTCTCTGCCAGTCAGTGGGTTGCAACCACACCTTATCCAACTCGCCAACACCTTGTCTCCCCACCCAAGTTTGTCCTTCCGTGGATAGTCCCCATCAACCCTAGGATGCCCTTTTGAGCTCTTAGTCCATCTTTATAGTTATTCTCCTATCATCACTAAATAATTCTCTATATGAAACTTTCCTTGTTTAGTTACTGTGTGGTTTCTGTCTCCTGATTAAGCCCAGACCAATGCATACACACACACACCCCTCTTTACCTTCAATAAATAGATCATTGTACACCCAGCTTAATATATCTATATTTAGCTTAGAACCTGAATCATCAGTTTTAGGAATTGATCTTAGACAACTTAATAGGATCTTTGTTATTTCTAGCAGAAGTTATTCACTCTATGCTAATTTGTTATAGAGTGACTATGAATTTTCTTTTTCCCAGTGAAAGAAAATTTACTTTTCGCTTTTCTTCTAGGAAAAATTAAAATGTTGAGATGGAAAAGTCACCACAGTCTGGCCTAGAAGATTATAAAGAGAATTAT